TATTCAAGTAAATCCTTTTATCAGTTTTGCCCACTGTATATTCAAGTAAGTCCTTTTATCAGTATCGTCCACTGTATATTCAAGTAAGTTCTTTTATCAGTATCGTCCACTGTATATTCAAGTAAGTTCTTTTATCAGTATCGTCCACTGTATATTCAAGTAAATCCTTTTATCAATTTCGCCCACTGTATATTCAAGTAAGTCCTTTTATCAGTATCGTCCACTGTATTTTCAAGTATTTTGTTTTATCAGTTTTGCTCATTATATATTCAAGTAAGTTTTTTTACCAGTTTTGCTCATTATATATTTAAGTAAGTTCTTTTATTAGTTTTGCTCCCTTACATACTTTTATCATTTTCCCCCACTGTATGACAGTCTCTGTCATTTTTTCAGGTTTGCTTAGCAGATACTCAGAAAAAAATGTCTTCTTTATATAATGAATGTTGTGACCAAAATAGACAGCAGATACTTGTGCATCTGCGGTGTTTGAGAGGCAGTAAACGGACTGAAGTATATGCATCACTGTTTTTGTTACTAATATCTGGTATCATATATGGTATGCGAAAACTTTTCTTCTTCGTATTATTTCTGCCTTTAACAATATAATTCTGAGAAATATTAATATATATATACAATCCATTCATAGGGAAGAAAAAACATTTGTAGAAGGATAATAGTTTCGTAACAAAATGAAAACTGAAATACTGGGTTATGAGAAAATGTTCAAATTATTTATTTTGAAAGAAATATATATATTCAAATAGCAACTATTATTAATATAATAAAAGAAAAAAAAAGGACAACTATGAAAGCTTTGTTAAATACCGAAAACAACGTCAAACAGGATATGTTTACACTTGTTTTGAAAATATATTTATTCACAAATCCATTCATTCGTGTAAAAATCTGTTTATAATTCTCTAAGAAGCTGTTTTCTTCTAGTACCCGCTACTGAAATCATTTCATAATGAAAAACAAAAGATGCACAGTTCCATCTATCTGTCAAGTACTTTATCTTTGAAAAGTTTTACTCGCAGTATTATCTAGTAATTTCTAAGTAATTAAAAGCAAAGAATTTGACACGTTCTGTTTAAGAGATCTAACCAATATATGAACTGTACTGTGATAGCTAGATGTAAAAAAAAATTGAAAATGTATACATTTACCTTAAGGAGAGTTAAACTTCTACTGGCGTAACAATTATGCCCGCTCCAATCAAGATAGACACACCTATATTGGCGAGATTAAGAGTCCATTCACGTGTATTATGAATATATATATATACATACATGTAATTTTAAAAAATACATTACCTAAACTTAATCGCGTAGTGCCGTTTACTACAGGGGCTGAGTACCTCGTATTACAATGATTTTTGTGTTTCAAAATCTTGTTACAGTCCATGTCACCATGTCCAGTCGTTCTCTATCTGACTACTGTCCATCTTGAAAATAACTCTGCAACACAGCTTCCATTGCAAAAGGCTCTGTCTTAAGGGTGTCATGCTCAAAACGCACCACTACTCCCTGCTTGCTTTACATATTCCGTCTAGTGTACGAGAACTACAGTTTCCCAGCATCTGTTTTTAACAGTCCGATTGCACATAAAACACTAGGTTACTTTATGTGACTTGTTGATTTGCATATTGAAAATCGTTTTAATATAACGTACTCAGTCCTCTGTATGACATCTATGCATGCAAAATTCCAGAGATGAACTTATATCTAAATGAGATTTAAGCCTCTAGTAACCTGTAATATGTATTCCAGTTCAAGAGTTATACTTCTATTTCAATGAAAATTACACATATACTGATCTGTACTAATAGGTGAAATTCAAGAGAAAAGTAGCCCTTGCGACAAGTATGAACGTAAAATTCAAGAGATACTCGTCTACTTCAACGAGAATTATGTACCTGTACTATGGCAGATATTATTTAACACTTAGAAGACATTCTTTCATAACTGGAAGAATTAGTTTAAGCACAAATATAAAACTTACCATCTTAGTATTTTTGTATCTTTTGGCCACTCCCCTCATAAAATAAAGAACAAATTCCTGCGTTTGAATCATCCGCTTTAATATCATTATCATTTATCCAATTAAATTATTTGTCTCTATACTTTCAGCTCAGGTATATCAGTCAGAAAAGTAGCACGAACTTAACGTTAAATTATCCTCTTTACCCTTAGTTAATTTACCTCGAACTTACAACGAACAAACATTTTCCATGAAATCATCTTCTGTACCTTTATTTAATTTATCTCAAAGTCATATTAAACAAACATTCTCCATTGAAGCATTCTCTGTATCTTTAGTTGACTTATTTTAGACTTAAAACAATCGAGTGGAACTTACCATCAAATCAGTCGTTGCACTGTCAACTTGTATACCTCTGGATCAAAACAAAGAATAAAAGATTATCATCGAAGCAGTTCTATATCTTAGTATGCTTCTTTTTGTTTGATTTCTCACTGGGCTAAGTCGGTTAAAAGTAGACATATTATTCAAAGGTGAGATTTTGTTTGTTTTTGTGACTAAGATAAGTGAGTTGAAGATATAGAACTGATTCTATGGGAATCTTTTATTGAAGATGTAGAACTGATTCGATAGTAATCTTTTATTGAAGATATAGAACAATTCGGTGATAATTTTTCATTCAACTTACTATCTGTCAGTTTAAAAACAAATAATAAAAGCCTACCATGGAACCCTTCTCTGAACCATGTACTTTAACTTGTGTCTCTTAAAATGAAAAACAAAACGTTACCATTGAATCAGTCTCTGCATCATATACTTTAATTTTTGGATCTTAAAAAAACAAAAACTTACTAATGAATCATTCTGTCACTTTGAGTCAAATCTGAAAGAAGAAGAAATAATCATTGTTAATGAGAGTCATCTGTAGAAACTGTCTTTAAGAATGAGAAACATAACAAACGAATTGCCTTTTTGTTTTTTTAACCCAAAATTTATTTTGATTCAATCACTCAAAATATTATGGCTCGCGATATTTCATGTAATCGACAATAATATCATTAATATGTTTCATATATTATACTGAAAATAAACCGTGCTTATATATGCTACGTTTATGTAACCCGCTCGTTATTACGCTATTTATAAACCACTTATTAATCCGACAGACCAAGGTGAGTTTGAAATTTTGCAACAAATCTCCCGGGTACTTTTCTGCTTCAGGCTAACGGCTACAGGAAAAACTCATGATGAACATAAAAACATCGCTTATAAATACACAAGAACGACGAATGATGTCCTTCTAAACCAATAAAATATGTTGATCTACTCGATATTTTTCCTTTTACGAGCTCTTCTAATTGAATCATTTGATTATGCATGTATGTAGTTAATGTAATCTTTTTCAGTTTTCTAACTTCTTTATAATTCCCCAAGCTAAGCTAATCAGCTTGACACAGTTTCAATTTGAAAGTTTTTTCTTCATTATTCTCTTTGCTATCTGTTCATGTCATGAGAGTCAAGACCTACTCCGTGATCTTAAGTTAGGCTTCTAAATTAGACTTTAATTTAATGGCTTTAAAAAGAAAAGATTGCTGCTACGGCTGCTTATAGCTTCAGTCTTCTCCGTCCATGATTACCCTTTTAACTTTTTGTTGGTTAATTGGGAATTATATTTGCTTCGATAACTTTCATAAATTAGCTTAATTAATCACTTTTGTAACCGTAAGTCTAAGTTAACAGGTAGTTAACAAGTCATAAATCACGTGTGACTTCCAAAGTGAAAGAACTTTCAAGAAAAGTGCAGAAACACATGCGCCATATACAACAATCCACATGCGCACATTAATTTTAGTAGAAATAACAAAATTGTGTTAAAAACCTAAACATGTTAGTGTTTTTGTTATACAATGTAGAGTTGTTCTTTTTTTCAGCAACGAGACACAAACCATGAAACATTGGGAATTATAGTCCAGTCACAGAAACTTCTAGACCACTTCATTCTTTCGTGGTTTTTTTCTAAATATCAAACATTTTGTGTTTAAACTTGCTAATAGCTCTTATCGAGATATCATGCCACTGTATGTTACACTTTTTAAAGCTTTCCTTTATAAATAATTAAAAATTATATTCGACATTACTCTCTTTCTTTGTTGTTGTTGTAAAAAAAAAAAAAGACAAATTGTTAAACTTAATGGATTAGTACAGGAACTTAGTAAAAGATTCCTAGAATATTCAACGTTTAGAACACCTTGTGTTTTGATTTATAAGCGATTCCAAAAGAACAATTATTGTGGATCTCTTGAAAACTATTTTATTGTTACTACTTAACAAACATTCCTTGTTGTTTTCATAAATGACACTTGTGTACTGACTTACCAAACAAATAACATTTGTTGTTTTCATTTATAATCTTAATCTGGTTGGTGTTTTTAACCAACATTTTATAACACTTTTCAATGTTCAGTGTTTTAACTAGTGATTCTTTGAGTGTCAGAATAAGTCCAAGTCTTTTTCATGAGAGACCACAACTATTTGTTATAACAAATAGTAAAAGTAAAATATATGCATAATATGTTATACTAAAGTGGAAAGACCTGTGTTTGTTTGAGAAGAACGTTTCACTTTAGATAAATTCAAAAAATTATGTTTAAATGCATTAGCATTCTTAATCAAACATTTATATTGTACACTGATATAATTTGTGACAAACAATGTAATAAGGAACGTACCCCTTTTTACAAACGCATTTACTCATGCTAAATACCTCAGTTTAATTTGTGTGATTAACAATTTTACAATTTATTAACTACTTTGATAAACCGTATTTTCTATCTATTTGTTGTTCTTCGATAATGATTCGATTATGCTAATTGTACTTGTAAGATACTAAAATAATTTGGTTTGTCAAAAACCATTTCTCATGTCGTATTTTAGAGGAGAGTGCTTACTCTTAAAATTGCAAATCTGTAGAAACAATCAAACTCAATGAATGAATAACTAATGACTAACATAAACGTTGATTGTAAGAGTCAATAAAAGATAAAGATTGCACAGAATGGACTGAAACATTAGAGTTTTTGTGTTTGTTCTGAATACACTGAAAAAACTTTATTGTAAAACAGATTTGTTACCTTGTATCCACAGAAAATTAGAAATTAGAATTTGTTGTAGTACAGTCGTTTCTTAGCAAATAAAACATTATTTTTTTGTATTTATGGAGCATTAGATGGGGGATGGAGTAAACCGTAACTTAACCCACAAAACAGGCCTGTCTCTTGATACTGATATAATATATTTACAGTGACGTAGGAAAGCCGTCCCTTACATCACAAAACAGGCCTGTCTCTTTGTATTTATGGAATATCTTTACAGAGACGTAGTAAAGCCGTCCCTTACATCACAAAACAGGCCTGTCTCTTAGTATTTAGGAATATATTTACAGTGACGTAGTAAAGCCGTCCCTTACATCACAAAACAGGCCTGTCTCTTTGTATTTATGGAATATCTTTACAGTGACGTAGTAAAGCCGTCCCTTACATCACAAAACAGGCCTGTCTCTTTGTATTTATGGAATATCGTTACAGTGACGTAGTAAAGCCGTCCCTTACATCACAAAACAGGCCTATCTCTTTGTATTTATGGAATATCTTTACAGTGACGTAGTAAAGCCGTCCCTTACATCACAAAACAGGCCTGTCTCTTTGTATTTAGGAATATATTTACAGTGACGTAGTAAAACAGTCTCTTACATCACAAAACAGACCCGTTCGTTTGTACTCTTAGGGAAATAAATGGTGACATAGTAAAGCCATTACTTACATTACCCATTTCTTTGTATTCTTGGAGAATTAGACGGTCACGTCGTTACTTAGCATACTAAACAGTTCTGTTTCTTTCTGTTCATAGAACATTAGACGGATAACCTCTTGATAACGTTTTGTTAGGCTCCTGTGAAAGACTGCTGAAGTTAATTTTTAGACGTCAAAAACTCTAGTTTACTTATATCAAGTGACTGGAAATCTATTTTTAGAAAAAGAAAATAACACAGCCTTAAAAAAGTAATTATCTTTAATTTATTGTTTACCTAAACACATTCACACACAATAAAAATTAATTGGTATAAAAACACAAAATATTAATGTAATTCAATTATTTTCCATCTTTTGTTTATTAATTACTTTCAATCAAAGATCAAGTTTTTGTATTGTTTTTGCCCCATCTTAAATTACGTGAAACTAATGTTCCAGTGGAGTTAAAAATCAGTCAATAAAATTATCATGAGGAAATATAATCACATGTGTAGAATTCATATGTTCCAGTGGAGTTAAAAATCATTCAATAAAATTATCATGAGGAAATATAATCACATGTGTAGAATTCATCCGATAGTTATCGTCACACAGTTCGTGTTCTTAATTAGCAGAATCGCGATAATAGTAATATGGTTATACCTCTATTTGATTAAATTAATTTCAAACTGAATAAACGGACAGACAAAACGAACTCATTTATACAGTTTTCAAAATACACCAGTTTAGGTTTGATTTGTTATTTTTGTTATATTTTTTGACTTACTTCAATCGAAAATTACGTTTTTTTGTTTTGTTTTTTCTGTGCACTAATCCACACTGTTCCCAGTTCGAATTGTAAAATGTTTTTAAAATACGAGACAAAGAAAGATATCTAATTAAATAAGTTTTTCCCCTTCAAACTAATGTTTTATATTATTTGGTATCTCGAGGTTTTTATTGAATGTTCTACAGTTTTGCTGATGTTTCATTAAATACTGTGTTAATTAACCGCAAGTAATATTACTCTATGTCCTTTTAAACAAACACTGTCTCCTCTGTTTCGATGCTTCTTCCTTGATATGAAATGTTTCACGTATTTTACTAGATTGACTAACGTTATTATATTATGCATATATCGCCTGCTTATAAAATTAGCGATGGGCAAAGAGAGAAAAAAAACTGTAATTTTTCTGATATAATTTATAATTATAATCAATTAATTACGTGTAAATATGCGCTCCCATGGCTGTAAATTGAGAATTTTATTTGCAGTGAAAATAACAAGGTACGTGTAATTTCTAGATCGAAACGTATTTCTATTGAAAGTTATTCAGTTGTCACGTTTTGGATCACACTCATTGTGATAGATTAACTATTAATACATTAGCAAAAGCCCCCCAGTAGCACAGTGGTTTGTCTTCGGACTTACAACATTAGAAACCGGGTTTCGATACTCCTGGTGGGCAGAGCACAGATAGCCCATTGTGTAGCTTTGTGCTTAACTTCAAACAAACAAACATTACTAAAACCTGGAAAATGATTTTGTCTATCGAACATTCCAACGTAATGTAGAGACTAAAGACCACAAGACCGTTTATACGAAAAAGAAAGAAAAATATTTTTGTACATTTTTCATTTATAATGTTGGCGTGACATGGCCTGGTGGTTACGATATTCAATATGGTTACCTGCGGGTTCGAATACCGTCATCGAACATATTCCCTTTTTAGCTGTGGGGGAGTTATAATGTGTCGGTTAATTCCACTTCTTGTTGGTATAAGAGTAGATCAAGAGTTGGCGGTGGGTGGTTTGGACTAGCTGGCTTCCCTCTAGCCTATCACTTCTAAATTAGGGACGACTAGCGCTGGTAGCGTTCGAGTAACTTTGCGCAAAAATTGAACAAAGAAACTTATAATGTAGCGACGACATCAAACCATGCATTCTTTAGTACAGTATGGGTTGCATTCTTCAGACGTTTAAAATATTGTTCTGATTTTTTTAAGTTTTCATATTCTGAAGTAAATACTCATATACAAAGTTCTTTGCATCTTTAGATAGCGATTTATTTGTTTGTTGGGGTTTAATCAGAAAACTATACAATAGGCTATCGTACTTCGACTTTTAGCGTTACAAGTCTTCCAGCTTACTTCTGAGCCACCAGGATCTTAGATAGGTTGCCCACTAAATTTTCGGATAAATTAACCATAACTAAAAATCTTATGCTCTAAATATATGTTCGCTCCTTTTTCATTATTTCCTTGAAGACATATTTCTATTACATGGGAACGTCTGATTTCAGGAAATAGAAATGTCAGAAATGGTATTATGTTTATTGGCAGACAAATACTGAGAAGCACGTATTAGGTCCTTCTATATGTGACCAACGTCGAACATATTAACACACATTGTTGCCAAATACGTCAAATCTGAAGAGAATCCCCCCTTATAATAATAAAAGGGCGTGTCTGTGTGTGTGTGTGACCGCCATAATTCCAACAGGAAAGAATCTATAAATCTGTAATTTTGAACACATATTAAGTGAACTCTGACGGTGTGCACCTGGGTATTATTACTTATCCACGTGCGAACGAATGCGCATGCGAATCTTTTTGTGAGGTAAGCAAGCGAAAAACCACATAGAAAAGAATATGTGACCGCCATAACTCCAAGAGCAAAGAACCTAAAAACCTGAACTTTTGCACCTATACTAAGTGGACTCTGAGGGTGTGCACCTAGGTATTATTACTTTTCTACGTGCGCACACAGACACGCACGTGCGCACGCACACTACTGTGATTTCTAATTGTAATTTTTTGTGATTTCTATTTCTGAATTTCATTTTTCTAAATTCTTTCATCTTGGAGCTATGGCGGTCATATTTCTTTTCTATGTGGGTTTTCGCATAAAAAGATGTGCATGTTCGCGTGTGTGACCGCCATAGCTCCCAGAGCAAAGAACCTAGAAACCTGAAATTTTTCACCCATACTTAGTGGACCCTGAGGGTTCACACCTGGGTATTATTACTTATCTTATCCATGTACGTGCGCGCATGCGCGTGTGCATCTTTTTAATTAAACAAATTAGAAAAAACACATAGAAAAGAAGTGGTAATATAAAACCAATAGAAATCACAGCCAGACAGTCAGACACGTACATGTGTGCTTGCGCGCGTGTATGCGTGTCCGCCATAGCTCCAAGAGGAAAGAACCAAGAAACCTAAAATTTTGCTCCCATACTCAGTGGACCCTGAGGGTCTGCACCTGGGTATTATTACTTATCTTATCCACGTGCTTGTGTGCATGCGTTCGCGCATCTTTGTAATGAGGTAATCTAGCGGAAAAGCACTTAGAAAAGAAGTGGTTATTTATATAACAACTTCTAATATATAGAAAAGCCATTGCATTTTGGTAACAATGCGTTCCAACAATGGCGTTTATATCATGTTGCTTAGCAATAAAAGTATAACCTAATATTGCTGTTAAGAGGCTATGTGCTGAAAGTATAAAATGAAATGTATAAACTACAAAATTAAAAAAAATGTTGTTTTCTAATTTAGAGGCTCCGTTAATTAAAGAGGGTTGTTTTTTATTATTTGTTTTATTATTTAAGTTTAACATTGGAGGACAAGTCAGAGGAAAGGTTACCCTTATAAACAGGCCACATCCCGTAAAGGAGCAAAAAAGGTATATAGGTTATACTTTTATATCAAAATAGGTTCAGAACACACACACTGACATAGTCATCTAGAATAAATCAACCTAATAACCCGAGCGAAGCAGGTTACTTTCGCTAATAATTAATATTCTGGTTATCTTTGCTCCCGTATTCATTTCACATTTACTTCTTTGAACAATGATTATGAGCGTTGTCTTCTACCTTTTGTTCTACCTGACAACGATGTAAGCGAAAAGAATTGAGAGTCGAGTCATTTTCGAAGGGGGTCATTATAACAGGTAAAGACTTACAAATCAAATCGCGTCTTTTCATGCAAAACTTTTCTCGCACTTGAATATTTTAAAAACCGACAAAGGAATCAACAACTTTTACCGTTGTATTGAGAACTGACAAACTAACAAACACACACACAGAAAAACAACAAACAAATGTGCAGGTTATACTTTTAAAACTAACATTTATCATAGTATTAACAGCTAATGAGCTAAGAAACAAAGAGAAGAATATCAACAAAATTTCCACGGTATATTTTCAAAACCACAGATATGTAAATACCTGATTTTTGGAAATAGTATTTATACAAGATCAAATTGTGCGCTTATAATTACACACTGTGCCCTTACACCTGATACTTATTAGCATGAAACAGTGTTAACAAATGTCAGATCTGTAAATGAAATACAACCATATTTATCTGCCTGTTAGATAGGTACAGAATAAATTTAGTACCACCTGTGTGACGTTTATGTATATTTTTCCTAATATGATAGCTTGTTTATTTGTTTTATCAGATAACTACACAATAGGCTATCTAAGCTCTAGCCATCACGGGAAATCGAGCTCCGGATTTTATAGTTGCAAGTCCGTAAACTTACTGCTAACCCACAGGGGGACTAATGTGATAGCAGGTTTTTTTTATGAAGTTCACTGAAATGACCAAGTTGAGTCTGTATTAATCAAGTAAAATTTTCTGCTTATCATAATGAAGTACAAACATTAAACGATATAAAAACATCAAGATAACACTAATTGGAACCAGAAAGACTTGTAAACTATTCAAGTTACTTGAGGTTTATTCTGTACAATGTCAACTGGTTACCAATTTCAGTGTATATTACCAAATTAACTTGGTTATTTTTCTTGAATGTTCTAAGATTTCTGTTTGCCGATATTGAGCAAATGTTCATGGAGCTCGTTGATAGTAGTTCTTTGAAAACTTTAGGTAATTTTGTATCTTAAGTCCTTGCGTGACATATTAAACTTTTGCTTTACTGTCTGAAACTAAGTTTTTGGTGAAATATCCATGAAGTGTTGCCAGTTATTTCTTGTTTAATAGAAATTTTAAAAGTGATGCACAAAGATTTACAATTTCTTTTTCAATTGCTTGTAAAATCGAAGTAAGGTATCTCATTACCGTCTAAGTTTTTTCCAGATCAGGAAAACGAAGGAATACCATATCTGTGGTGCAAAAACGCACGATAA